AGTACAAAATATCGCAAAGTACATTTGACTGTACTTCGAAGCACGGAGTACAAGAGCGGAAAAAGAAGTACTGTACTTCCGAAGTTAGTTATGCGCCGTCTGACGAACGCAAGTTTAGTATGTATATAGATAGAAACATTTATTTTTAATAACAATCAGGGTTATATTCGATGTAAATAAGCTCGCTTAAATTAAATAATTAATTCAAATTCGTTTTTGCTTTAAAACACCACCACTCACTATTATCCCCACTTTTTTGTGGAATTTAACTACCATTTTAGGAAGTGTAATTTAATTCTTCACCTTTTTCTTCTGCTTCCAAAAACCAGCCCTGTGGGTGGGAGTGTCAAATTTTAGAATAAAGCTACTTACAAAACCTTTAATTATTGAATCATGGGTTCTACCTTACTATAGTGGCGTTCCAGCAGCAGTACGAATAGCAGGAATTTACAGGATTTTACAGGAAGCTGTTCCCGCACAACACCTTACATTAGGCTTATTAATGGCGAAAACAGCTGTTCCTGTAAATCCTGCAAAACCTGCTATTCGTACTCTTGCTGGGACGCAATTTATGTCTTTATCATGGAAAGTAATAATAGTTGCGTTCCAGCAGCAGTACAAATAGCAGGTTTTGCGGGATTTACAGGAACAGCTGTTTTCGCCATTTGTGGACAATTGACGCTTACGACAAAATTTTACTAAAGAAAATTCTTCATAAACTCAAAACTAATTAACATTAAACATTAAAAATTAAATAACTTAAGAATTTTGTGAACTAGTAACATTTTCAGAGAGTTTGGAGAAAATCTATCTTCGCATTTTTGAGAAATTGCATTCCAAACTTCAATCGCGATTTCCCACAACCTGCCGAAATTAACATACGACAATCTTTTACCCAGACGACGTTATGTAAGGTGTCGTACGGGAACAGCTTTCTGTAAAATCCTGTAAATTCCTGCTATTCGTACTGCTGCTAGAACACAACTAATATTTGCTTGAAAAGAGACAACTACATATCGACTGCTGAGTGGAAGATCGACCTATCTCGGCAGCCAGTTCGAAAACGCCCTATCTCAAAAAACTTTTCAAAAACGTCCTATTTCAGAATTTGGTTAAAGAACGCCCTATTCCAGGGCCAGAAATATACACCTGCTGTGTATGCCAGAGACGACTACACCACAACTCCACCTCAGTCAAGTGTAAAGCCTGCGAGGGGTGGAGTCACCTTAGAGTCTGCTCAGGCCTACGGACACATCGACAGTGGACCACGTCGTACGTGGCCCCCTGCTGCTCAAACAGAGCAGCCTCCACGGCTAACCTCAGTCCACCTGAGCAGCCTCACACAGTCACCACAGCACAACAACATAATAACAACACAGACCATACCACAGCCACGACAGACCACAGAACACACACAACCGCACCACTACCCACACGCCGCCGCCAACAACTCCTGGTTCCTCCTACAATCTGCACGGTATGTCAGACCAGGATATTCAGTAATGCGACATCAGTCAAGTGCAACACCTGCCTTGGCTGGTGCCACTTTAGGGCATGCTCAGGTCTGCGTACCACGCGAGATTACACGGGGAACTTCGAGGGCCCGTGTTGCGCTGCTCGGTCGCAGACCTCAACTGCGACGCCCCCGCCACCACCACAGGGCGGCAACCATCACAGCAGCGCACACAGCCAACGGCGGTAAGAACACACACATCCCTAACACCCCACATCACGACACGTCTCCCGAACCACATGAAGCTCCTTCAATTTAACTGCAACGGGCTACAGAGCAAGATTGAGGACATAACCGTCTTCATGTGTCGGCATGGTATATTGATAGCTGCGGTCCAAGAGACGAAGTTGCAGCAATGTGTTGAATTGAGCCGGGTACAACGTGCACCGTCGACATCGCGAGCGAGATAATGGTGGTGGCTTTGCGTTCATCACGCACCACACCGTGCAGTATCGTGTTATCGAAGCAGACATCGACCGCAGGGATACCACCCTAGAATGTCAGGGCATTGCTATCCGGTCAGGCGATATTGAGCTCGAAATATTTAACATATACATACCCCCTGTCACCTGCTGCCCGGCAGGATATCACCCTGGTATAGGTGCGCTCCTCAGAGGTGAAAACCGTATGGTAGTAGGTGACTTTAATGCGCACCACGATCTTTGGCACTCAAGCCTGTCGAACGATCGTAGGGGAACAGACTTGGCTGAGCAGATAGACGATTCGACATTCTGCACAATGAACGACGACGCACCCACCAGGATTATGGGTAACTGCAGCAGCTCGCCAGACATCACCATAGTCAGCGCTGGTCTGATAAACAGCATAACATGGCGACCTATGCTGACTTTAGCATCAGACCACCTACCCATAGTCATCTCGATAGATAAACCAAGCGACTTTGCCTCCGCTAAACACCGGACCTATATCAACTTCTCTAAAGCTGATTGGAACAGTTACGCGGAGTTTACTGAAAACACCTTCACTGCGCTTCCCACACCAACCGACGTCCATCTCGGTGAACGTAAGTTCCGCAGGGCTGTCACTGCTGCTGCAGCTCGCTTCATACCGGCAGGATGTATAACGGACCCACGTCCAAACTTCCCTGCCGAAGCGGCTGTTCTAGCCGATGAAGGTGATAGCCTTCGTCAGGCCGATCCCGGAGATCCCCGTATCAGGGATCTCAACTCGGAGATTCGGCAACTAGTAAACGTACATAAGCGGAAGTGGGAGGAGCATCTGAAGACCTGTAACTTCACCTCTGGTGTGAGTAAGCTTTGGTCAACCGTGAGGTCACTGTCCAATCCGACGAAGCACGACGACAGAGTCGAAATTTCTTTCGGCGACCATGCTTCGTCGGACCCGGTAAGATGCGCGAGCTATTTTAGCCGGCAGTTCATACTGCATCCTCCGGTGGACAAAGCCAAGCGACGAGTGACCAGAAGGCTGCACAAACTGCCAACAACCTGTGCCCCGCTTGCTTTCACTTGCGGTGAAGTTCAGGTGGCCATCGGGAATGCGAAAGCCTCCAAAACCATGGGTACCGACGGAATATGCATGCTGATGCTGAAAAATTTGGGTCCTGCGGGGGTAGCGTACCTAACGGAGGTCCTCAATTTGTCTATGGCCACTCTCATCATCCCAGACATCTGGAAGGTGGGGAGAGTGATCCCACTGCTCAAACCGGGGAAACCTGCCAACATAGGAGATTCTCATCGCCCGATAACACTCCTTTCCCCGGTAGCGAAGACACTCGAGGCCTTGCTACTGCCGTATTTCACAAACCACTTGACCCCAGCGAAGCATCAGCATGGTTTCCGTAAATTGCACAGTGCAACAACAGCACTTAACGCCATAAACACTCAGCTAACTCGTGGCCTTAACCGAAACCGTCCCTGTGAGAGAACGATTCTAGTAGCGTTGGACTTGTCAAAGGCGTTTGACACCGTCTGCCATTCCACGCTACTAGAAGATATAGAGGCTTCCTCTCTCCCACAGAGGCTCAAACGGTGGTCGGCAAATTATCTGAGTGGTCGACACTCGTCGGTAATGTTTAGAGACAAATCGAGTAAACTCAGAAAAATAAAACAGGGGGTTCCACAGGGTGGTGTCCTTTCCCCGCTACTGTTTAACTTTTACATTTCAAAGCTCCCTCAACCACCAGAGGGAGTCTCGATTGTCTCTTACGCCGACGATTGCTCGATCATGGCGACTGGGAATGGAATTTATGACCTGTGTTCGAAAGTAAACGGGTATCTCTCCGAACTTTCTCGCTTCTTCACTGCAAAGTGTCTAGCCCTCTCCCCTACGAAATCCTCTGCGACCCTGTTCACAACCTGGACGAAGGAGGTCAGGCTACCGCTGGGAATTCACGTCGATGGCACACCAATTCCGACGGTGAATAACCCCAAAATACTCGGAGTAACATTCGACAGCCTGCTCTCCTTCTCTGCGCACGCAACCGCTATTGTCAATAAAGTACAGAGCCGCAGAGGACCTTCCTCAAGTCGCTAGCCGGCAGTACTTGGGGCAAAGACAAAGAAACGTTGCTGGCAACATACGAGGCAATAGGCCGGCCGGTTTTAAACTACGCAGCGCCAGTGTGGTCGCCGGGGACTAGTAGGACGCAGTGGACGAAGCTACAGACTGTACCGAACACCGCACTCAGGACAGCGACAGGATGCCTCCTGATGTCGCCCGAACATCATCTGCACGACGAGGCACAAATGCTCCCCATAAAGGAGCACAACATAATGCTCTGCAAGCAGTTCCTGATCGGGAAACTGACGGACGAAGTTCAGAGGTTCATCAAGCAACCTCTGGACCCGTCAGCTTACCAACTGGCCCTGAACGGCATTCACAGGGAGTCAGTCTAGAGTTATGTAGACTCTAGACCTGTGAATGCCGTTCTAGGCATATCGCCCCCGGACATAGACGAGACGGAGCTTCATCTGCCTCGGGAGACACGAACGACAATAGCCCAACTCCGCTCTGGCTACTGCAGCAGGTTAAACTCCTACCTGAGTAGATTGAATGAGGATGTGCCAAATGAGTGTCCGGCATGACTCGAAATATCTCTTCGCATGCCCGGAAAACCCGACAACGCTAACGGCTTTGTCCTTGTGGACCAACCCAATAGAAGCTGCACGCTTCCTAGGGCTGCCGTTAATGGAACTTAACGACAACGACTGAGATACCAACCGATCTGGGCGGGGTTGTTGTAGCCGCTACAACAACAACAACAACAATCTTCCACTCAGCAGTCGATATAGGATAATATAATACCGAATTCCATGTAAAAGAAAGAAAAAACTGCTCTCAAGTGAAACGATTGTGCGTTAGATTTCTCCGCGAGTCCTATGTAAAATTTTTGTAGTACTAGGCGTATATAAAGCATTACTTAACAGATAGGGTTTTACTGGGATTAGAATAGAGTACATATATGCATGTATGTTTGTATTTAAAATAGGAAACAGCCAGCGATCCGTAATTTCGCACCCATTAGGATACACATTTTATTAATACAATATACATATTTATGTATTTATATATAGTTTATAGTCTAGAAAAAATAATGATGCATTCCTAATATTATGAGCGACTAGAGCACCTTGTATCTGCCTTTGTTGAACACGTGATGCGCTGAACTCAACTTCAACAGTTCCTCTTTAATAAGACGGGTTATTTCTCGTTTTGCCTTCTGTACAGCTAACTCACTGCAGCTTTCGATAGCCAAGTATAATTTACGTTCACCTTCGGGTGGATTTTTGCCAGGTGGTACATATGTTCCACGCACTGTGAGACCAGCTTCCGAATATTCTGATATTTGGGCTAATGCTTCTTTGGATGTTACCTTCCAGCGCGCCTGCTGAGGGAAATCATTGATTTCCAGCTCTTCTTCATATTTGGTGAACGAATTAGGCTGGTTGGGTAACAAAGGATTTACGCCATCTTCGTCATCTTTAGGTTGATAATTTAACTTGTTATTCAATTTAGCTGCCAATTGCTCTACTACGGAGCGGGCCGTTATCATGGGTTGACCGGTGCCACCGCCTTTAAGTATGGTTTCGGCAGATACCTGCGGATTCACTTTGCCATCAGCACCCAAATTCTTTGTTGTACTGATCTTTGAGGCAAGACGTTTCGCTAATTCCAACTTATCTGAGCCAGAAGCAGCCAGTGGTACACTGGAAACACTAGCTGTTGTTGTTGTAGGTGCTACTGACGCTGTTACCGCAGGTGTTGGAATCGAGGTATCTTTTACCGTTCGTTTTGCTGCAAATATCTGCTCAATTTGCTGGTCTATATCTTGTTCAATATCCTCTTCATCATCTGAATCAGCCAAGCCAAGAGCAGCTTTCTGCAACTTTTTGCTTTCCTTTGCAGCATTAGCTTCTTGTTCGTCAAATTTAAATCCTTTGCCACTAAATCCACCACCAGTATGCACTTTCTTACCTTCTGCTTCTTGTGCAGCTTTATACTCCGTCCAAAGCTTTTGTAAATCTTCAGGAACTTTAGCATCAGATAATTCAAGCGCACGTATAATATCCCCGCCATATCGGGCTTGTTCTGTTGTAAGAAAGGTCCAAGCACAACCTTTTTTACCAGCTCGGCCAGTACGTCCACATCTGCCAATTCGAAATATATATCAATCAACCATAAAAATTAATTTAATTAACTTTACCTGTGAACGTAGTCTTCATAGTGATTTGGTACGTCATAGTTTACTACCAATATTAAATCTTTAACATCTAAGCCACGAGCAGCCACAGACGTTGCAATTAAAAGACGCACTTTACCTGATTTGAAGTCAAGTATTGTGGAATCACGATCGAATTGATCAATGCCGCCGTGCAAACTCATACACGGATATGAAGCTTTCATAAGATCTCTGAGCAAAATGTCGGCATTCTCCTGTTTGTCCACGAACACTATTATACTTCCATGTTCTTGATATACACCCAGCAGCTCAAGAAGTTTAAAGAATTTCGCTTCATCCTCCAATATAGCCACGTTTTGTTCAACATCCTTACACACTACAGATCGTCCGCCGACAATTACCTCAATTGGCTTCTTAAGTATCCGCCGAGCCAGCGCCTCCATTTGACGCGGGAATGTTGCACTAAACATGACCGTTTGCCTATCTGGACGCACATTGTCTATGATGCGCATCACTTGCGGTTCAAAACCCATATCGAACATGCGATCAGCTTCGTCCAGTACAATATACGTCACTCTGCGCAAATTTGTTACACGTCCAGAATTGGCCGCCAACATGTCGATCATGCGGCCGGGAGTACACACAATGATCTCCGCGCCACGCTTCAATTCTGCTATTTGTTCGGAAATTCCAGTGCCGCCATAGACGCATACGGGATGTAAACCGATAGTTTTTGAGAACTTTCGTATATCCTTGCCGATTTGCATACAAAGCTCCCGTGTCGGTGCCATTATAACAGCGATAGCGCCATCACCATCCTCTAGTGGCGATTGATCCAGTATGTGCCTAAACATTGGTAAAATGAAAGCGAGCGTTTTGCCACTGCCAGTTTTAGCAATACCTATCAAATCTCGTCCAGACATGATTGCCGGAATCGCCTGACATTGGATGGGCGTGGGTTTCTCGAAGCCAAGCTTGCGTAATGTATCCATTTCTTTCTTGCTGACACCACATTGCGCCCATGTCTACATGTGAAAAAGTTAAGAGATCTTTAGGATTTGCAAAGAAGTACTACAGTATACCACAAATATCTAACATACATACGTACATACATATGTATATACATACTCAAAAGAATTGCTTACCAAAAAATAAAAAAGGAGTTGATAATCTGTACATGGTATAAAGGAAAGTCGAGATTCTTTGTACGCGGTAATCTCGAAAACTACTGAAAGGATTTTGACGAGATTTTCTCTAATATACTTAAAAATTTGATAGGGTTGCTGTCTAAAAAACTATAAGATCTGCACCGTTCGTTGGATTACAAAAGTTGAGGTGTCGAATGAAAGGGATTAGCCTATAGAAAAGCACTGTTTTTTAATAGGGTTGCCACCTATTAATAAAATTACTATAATCAATCATAATAAGCGAAGGCATCAGTTCTGCACCATTACTGTAAAACGAAAAGACATGTGCAATAATGTATTATTTTTCTGAGTAGGGTTGCCACCTATTAAAAAGTTTAAATATTTTCGCCGTTCGCTGGATTACAAAATGAGATACCAAATGAAAGGGCCTGGCTTTCGCATGCACAAAAGCTTTCATTTTTTGAATAGGGTTGCCACCTATTTAAAAATTACTTTCTTCTATACATAGTGTTAAGGAATGTCGAGATATTTTGACCACGCTAATCTAAAAAACTACTGAACGGATTTATACGAGATTTTTTAAGTATAATCTGTATCGATAGGAATATTATCTTTAGTACTTTAAAATATTGTAGGGTTGTCATCTGTCTAATTACAAGTTAGATGTTCAATAATGTATTAGTTTTAGAGGTTTGCCACTTTTTAAAAATTATAAGACCTTTACCCTTTATTGGACTAAAACTGAGGTACCAAGTGAAAGTATATGGCCTCTGCATGTGCAATAAGTTTTTATTTTTTGTTTGAGTGGGGTTGCCACCTATTTAAAAATTATGTATGTATAGTACGTAGGCTGACCATCCGTCCTATATTAGTCCTCTTTTTGACCCATTGTCCTGGTAATTTATTTATTTTATACGGGACGCCAAATGTTCTGCATTTCTTTTAATGTCCTGTATTTGTCCCGTATTCGGTGGCTCGACGCCTTAACAGCTCATTAAAATGGCATGGCTATGAACGAGTTTTAAGTGGTGTTGGTATATGATCGTAATTTCCTCCATAAACAGTTATTATTTTCTAATCTGAATGCCTGTGATTCGAATCGAGGAATACATACAGTGACCAAAATAGAAATTAGGACTCGACATTTTAGTAAGTTTTGGCTATTTATCCTTAGTTCATTTAATGTTTATTATTTATTTTATGAAAGTAAAGCTCTTTTCCTAACAAAAACCATATAATACCAAACTTTTTAATTAAAATCTTTAGAAACAAATTTGGTTTGCAGTTTTGTAACTCATTAGAATTGAGTATAATAAAGTGCGAGTGGAAAAATCTGTTCATTTGTATGAAAAAAATGCGTAATATCAACAGCAAAAAAAAATTGCCAAAAATTAATGGTAAGCCTTGGCGACCTAAAATTGCACTTTATTATACTAAAATTTAAAGAACTTTTTAACAAATTTCACGGATAAAAATCACGCGAAAATTATCCTACAAATTTGTGATGTTATTAAAATGATACTGTTTCAGGGCTACATCTAGGATTATAGAAGAAGGCTTTAAGATTTGTAAGCTGTTGTGGTAAAAATTGCAAAATTATTTTTTGTCCCGTATTCGGCTCTCATAAATATGGTCACCGTAATAATACGCGAGAGCATTTGTTGTTAATGACATTAGATTTGCACAGCTTATTCAATTTAAAAATTGAGGTGTCAAAGGAAAAGGCTTGACCTTCCGATTTGCAGTAAGGTTTTATTTTACGAAAAGGGTTGCAACTTGTCCGAAAAATTAAAAGATGTGGGCTGTTCGTTAGATTACAAGAAATGGTGTTAAATGAAAGGGCTTGGTCTCCAGATGCGCAATTATATATTTTTTTTAGTAGGGTTGCAACCTGTTTAGTTGTCAATCGAATCTTATTTAATATATACACATTCAGCGCGGCGCATTCGAGGCCGGCTAGTCCTCTATATTTTTAGTATTAAAAATTACCTTAATAGGCTTAGGACAGCCCTTTCCTTTTACTTGAATTCCCTCCAGGTCAGCGCGGTACTTATCGACTTCTTGTTGGGTCATTCGAGCTAACTCTGGTACTTCAACGTAAAAATTTTTTCGAAACGGCGTATAATTCACGCCGGAATGATCGATTTTAGCTAGTTCTTTGCGATGCTTGTTTGCCAAATTTGCAGCTGTGTCTTTTATATCTTCCAACTCTTCCTCACTTGAATATTCAAGGCTGTCCATGTTTTGTTCAAGGAGTTCGCCTTTATTTGATTTTTCTGTATTCTTCTTGGCCACCCCTGTAAGAATGACAACACCCTGTTGCTTTTTCGGCTGCGTCACAATGTGATTTACATTCCTCACTTCTTTGTCGACTTCTTGCATATAGGCATCTAATGGATCAATATCTATATCGTTTTCTGCAGTTTTATTTTCTGTAGACTTCTCGTCTTCATTGTCATCATCGTCAAGCTTGGATAATTTTTTTATTTTCTGATGTGCATCATTTTCCTCATCGTCATCTTGCAATTTTTTCAACCGTTGGAATTTCGGAGGTGGAGAATCCGGCTCTTTTTTAATATCAGATGTTGGTGGCATTTGATTAACATTATTATCTTCCTCTTCGGATTCGTCCTCTAAGCTCCACTTTTTAGATGTGCTAATCGGCGTTTGTACCGGAAGGGATTTAAGATCTTTTTTACCTTCCAGCTCTTTTAATTTACGTTCTGCCCTCCATCGCTCAATGCGCTCTCTTCGTTTTATCATTTCCTGTTCAAGTCGCCGTTGCTCTTCTTCCTTGTCAATTTCTTCTTCCGAAGAGCTGCTAGACTCCTCTGGTATTGTCTTTACAACGGGCTGTACATTTCGCCTACTTTCGACCTCTAGTTCACGATCCCGGGCCCGATCTCGATCTCTATCCCGTTCCCGATCACGTTCTCGATCCCTAACTCTTTCTCGTTCCCTATCACGTTCACGTTGCTCACGTTCCCGTTCTCGATCACGATCTCTTTCCTTATCTCTTCCACGTTCAAAGAACTTTCTAAAATTTTTAAACATATAATTTAAATATATCTCTGCATATTTTGTTAACAGGTAGAAGTCTTACATTTTTTCACGGTCGTAATCTTTTGGATTGGATTTAGATCTGGAGCGCTTTCGACGTTTATCTTCACGCCTATTACGGTCGATTTCTCGCTGTTCCCTTTCCCTATCTTTTTTACGATCGTCTCGATTTCTGCTGATTACATTATCATTTCGAAAGGACTTGCCTTCCTTGGGTGTTCTAGATCTGCTTCTGGAATATCGTCGTTTCTCACGTTCCCTTTCCTTATCCCTTTCCCGGTCACGATCCCTATCACGGTCCCTCTCCCGATCTCTCCTAAAAAAGTATTCAATTGTCTTTTTATTACAAATTATAAATACTACTTACCCAGAATACGATTTAGACATTCTAACTATCCTTCCCCTTCACCACTCTTTATATATCTTTACAGCAATCAAGGAAGTTTTAACTCGATCTCACCGTTTCGACTTATGAAATGTGGCATTTATTATAAGCACATTTGCGTAACCCACACTTTTGTGAACGTACTATTTTAATATGCTTCCAACCATAAGAGAAAATATTTTATAAACCAAATTCAGAAAACCACGATATACTAGAGCTGTAAAACTATCGATTGAACTATCGATACTATCGAATGGTTATATTTTTTTGCACTATCGAATGGTGGTTGGTCACTATCCATAGTCTTTGCTTGAGGGAATATATCGTCGCCTAGGTAAAAGATTGTCGTAAACGCCATTTTGACGATTTTTAGTTCTAGATGCAGTTATATATTTTGAAGTAAGGTCTTGCGATTGGTGTTATCAGTTTTAGAGATCTCCTTTATTTTCCGAGATATTGACTACAATTTATTTGATAATTTAGTAAAAATTTAGATAGTGATGCAGCCATATTAAACTAATTTATATAATTTAAAAATGACGTTCTCCACTTTTGGATATCTCCTTTAGTTTCCGAGATATTGAGTAAAAATTGTCGTTAATTTAGTAGAAATTTTGATCACATTTTGACGTATTTCATACAAAGTGGCTGCTAAATTGTGGACAAATGACGCTTACCACAAAATTTTACTAAAGAAAATCCAAAACTAATTAAAATTAAACATTAAAAATTTAATAATTTAAGAATTTTGCGAACTAGTAACATTTTCAGAGACTTTGGATAATATCTATCTTCGCGTTTTCAAGAAATCGCATACCAAACTTCAATCGCGATCCCACAACCTCCCGAAATCAACATGCGACAATCTTTTACCCAGGCGACGCTATGTATTGGCCTATAGTTATAGTCGCAAGTTAAAACTCATTCGTGTTAAAATACAGTTTTAGGGCCGGTTGTTCAATGTCTGGTTATCACTACTTGCCGGTTAAACATCATTATCGACGTTTTCGACATCATGCATATAACATGTGATCGATAAAGCAGTCGTTGTACTTAACCAGAGCTTCTACCTCCGATTAGTGTTAATCAGACATTGAACAACCGGCCCTTAGGTTTAGAATAGATTTTTAACTTGCGTCAATCATAGACATCTTAAAAAAAGCTTTTTGTTAAGATGAGAGAGAACAGGGCTATCCATATGAAGAGAAAAAATTTACCCGGCAATATATAGAAATATGAGTACTTTAATTAGTTCACCCTGTGCCCGCAGCTGGGTTGCGGATTTAGCAAGCCGGGAAGTAGCGAGTTCGAATGCCATTGCCAGGGAACATTTTTTTTTACATCTTTTCTTAGTCATTTTAATATTTAAATTTTTGTTATTTAATTTTAGTTATTGTGGTCTTTTTAATTAAAGTTAAACTCCAAAAAATTTGATTAATAACGAAATAATTGTATGAAATACCATAAACAAAAAAAGATAATAAAACAAAATTTAATAAAATAAAATAAAATAATGTTTATGTTAAAATAAAAATATAAAATATAAAAAATTTTTTGGAATCGCTCAGAGTGGGGACCCAACCTGGGTGCTATTGCGTTTATACTACTTCAACAACAAAACAAAACTTAGAACCTTATTTTATCATTTTAAAACCGCGTTCTCCTCAGTGGTTTCAAGTTTCTTGCTTTGCTTTTGACATTTTCGTAAATAGAAAATACAAAAGAGAATGAACCAGAATTGCTTTAAAGTACTTGAATCATGTAAATCGTGTGTAATTAAATTTGAAAAAACTAGTTTAAATATCTTTTTGGAACCATACTATGGTGTTAGTGATTCTGCGTCGATGGAAGAAACTATTGATATAAGCCAGGGTTAGTAAAATTTTGGAGATTCTTGTATCGAAGAGAGAGGACAAAGGTACTGAAAATCGCTATATAGCAATTAGCTAAATCTTCAGGAGCTAAACCAAACTAAAAAGTTTATTTAAATAGCCTCGTCAATGCATTTTAAAATTATCCGATACTATCGATAGTTTCAGTGCAAACTATCACACAGACTTAGCTACCACATTTTTTTTTTGGCTACATAAATATAAAATTGCCGCTAGTCCTTTTTTAGCCCTTTGGAGAATTTATTCATACTGGGCATGAAAAAGTTGTTTCCGTTTAATTTGATCTAATTTTTTTGCATTTATTTAAGAGATGAATTTTTAAACTAAGAAACACTGATATATATACATGTATGTATTTTATGTTCCTTAAGTTTTTATACATACATACTGTAAAAGTGTTAGGGCTGTTTTTTGAACTTAACTATTAACGATTTAACTATAGTTTTAAATAGATAAGTTAACAGCCCTTAGGGCAAGTTTTTCAGTGCCAGTTTAAACTCTGATTAAGTAAACTGAGTCTAAATTGAACAGCTGGCTGACATTTGATTGGCTGATCTTAATTTACACTAGCCAGATCGGGTGTTTAAACTTAGGTTAAGCCACGGCCGTGCACTGAAAATATGCTTCATTTGTTAAATGGCCCATCAATTCGATTGACCGTGTATGTTCTTGTGATTGTACCAGCTGCTGGTGCGACTTCAAAAACTATTCGAAAATTTTTTGGCGGAAATTTCTTACACTATATGAGTCAAAGTCGTGTTTGTGGAATATTAAGTTCACGATATTGCAGTTGTGAATTAAAAAAAAAACAATGTTTAACAAATTTCGGCCTATACAAAAAGGTTTTAGGTTTCATAAAATATTAGCTTTTTTCCAGAGTTCATTGTTTTTCTATACCATTACTTATTGAAAATGTTTGCGTGTATACTTATTGGCCCGTAGTCATAGTCGAAATAAAGTCGACTTTAAAGTTAGTTGCAGCTTTTTGACATAATTTTCAATGGGATATCTGTCAAAAAAGCTGCAACTAACTTTAAAGTCGACTTTATTTTGACTATGACTACGGGCCATAATGAAGTAAACAATTCTAGCTACCATTTTTAGCCACAACGACCTTTTTTAGCTCTTTTTTAGCCCTTTTTTTTAGAGGAATTTGGCTACCATTAAAATGCTTCTCGGCAACACTGTTGATGGTGCATCCCTTTTAGGGCTTTCGCACGAGGCGATTTTTCAGGCAACTTTTAGTTGAAAGCAAAAATCGTCTCGTCCGAACGGCTTTTCAATACAAACGCAGGGTTGCAAAGAAAAAAAAGTTGAACGAGCTCAAAGGTGGCTGGCGACCAACTTTGTTGAAAGCGATTAGTTGAAAGGCCGTTCGGACGAAGCGATTTTTGCTTTCAACTAAAAGTTGCCTGAAAAATCGCCGCGAGCGAAAGCCCTATTATCCTTAAACCTCATCCGGATTTCCCAAATCTCTCGGTTCGTTTCGCTGGATTGTTAAATAAATGCAATCGATGACCAAATTGTAGTACAATTAACTTTATTGTACAACAAACAATTTACAATACTCGCTAATACAGTAAAAACACTCTACAATACTTGTTAAAGCAATAACAACGCTTAACTAAACTTGTTAACACAATTAAACTTATAGCTTGCTTATTCGCAACTCACTCCTCTGCTCACTTTACTTGTAGCTTGCTGTCTTGGAACTAACTCACCTCGCTGTGGCGGCGCCCTTATATACCTGCGCTGGCACTTATGTGGGACAAACAAACTGTGGGTTGTTGAAGCAACACAAAATTCTACACCGGACGTACTTATTGGTAAAACCTTGGCTAAGACGCAAAAGGATGGACGCATCCCAGTTCGAGTGCTCAATGAGTTCAAATCACCAGTCAAACTCCGAAGAGGAACTGTACTGGGGCAATGTCGAGAGGTAGAGGCAATCTTCAACTGCGAAAAGTTACCTGAAAGCGATTCCATTGGCGAGAATGACATTGCGGAAGACATTAATGCATGGACGGAAGGGTTGGAAAAAAAATACCAGCACAAGGCTAAGGAACTTCTCCGAAGATACTCCAACATATTCGACAAGGATGGCGACAAACCAGGCAGGACTAACGTTGTGAAACATCGCATTGATACTGGCGATGCAAGGCCAATCCGTCAAGCTCCTCGGAGTGTTCCACTTGCCAAACGTGAAACTGTTAGCCAAATAATAAAAGAAATGAGCGAGAGTGGTGTGATGGAGTTCGCCGGTAGTACTTGTGAAGAAGAAGGATGGTCAAATACGGTTCTGCGTAAATTACCGGAAACTAAACGATGTGACGAAAAAGGACAGCTATCCTCTTCCCAGGATCGATGACACTCTGGACTCGTTGACTGGAACAAAGTGGTTCTCAACACTCGACCTTAAGAGCGGTTATTGGCAAGTGGAGGTAAGTGACGAGGATAACAGCTTTCAGCGTTGGAGACGGTCTGTGGCAATTCACGGTGATGCCCTTTGGATTATGCAACGCTCCTGCCACTTTTGAACGACTTATGGACCATGTGCTCAAAGGACTGCATTGGAAAACATGTTTGGTGTATCTAGACGACATTATCGTATTGGGTAAAAGCTTTGAGGAACACCTGAACAATTTGGAAGAAGTTTTCCAGAGGATAGCTGGCGCTGGTCTGAAGCGAAGTCCTAAAAAGTGCTCACTGTTCAGGAAGGAGGTGAACTACTTAGGGCACAAGGTGACAACGGAGGGCATCTGTACTGCGAAGGAAGAGATAGAAGCAGTAAAGGATTGGCCAAGACCTAGGAACCTGCACGAACTACGAAGTTTTCTTGGGCTATGCACCTACTACCGCCGATTTGTTCCGAATTTCGCCAGCGTTGCTAATAGCCTCCACGAGCTCACTAGGAAAAATAGACCCTTCGAGTGGAATAAGGAGCAGGAGGAGGCTTTCCAGACTCTGAAGGAACGACTATGTACTGCACCTATGCTAGCGTATCCCGTTCCAGGTGCAACGTTTATTTTGGATACGGATGCTAGCGGTTATGCCATAGGAGGCGTACTGTCGCAGTTAATTGATGGGCAGGAGAAGGTGGTTGCCTACTATAGCGGTCGATTGGAAAACCAGAAAGGAACTACTGCGTAACTCGGAGAGAACTACTAGCGTTGGTGGAGTGCGTCAAACATTTCCACAAGTACCCCAAGGGCAACGTTTCCGAGTTCGAACGGAACATGCAGCGCTGAAGTTGCTACTACAGTTTAGGAATCCAGAAGGACAGCTAGCTCGGTGAATTGAGAGACTGCAAAGTTATGACTTCGCTATTGAGCACCGCAAGGGAAGTGTCCACGGTAATGCTGATGCCATGTCCCGCCGACCATGTAGCCTGGAATGTAAACACTGCTCAAAAGCTG